CTCAAATCTTTAAAAATAATTATTTTTTTTAGCTAGAATTTTTTTATTAAATTTTATTGTGAAGGGATGAAATGTTATTTTTTTCATCCCGTATTTTGTTTGAGGGCCACTTCCCCTATAGAAAATCTTGTTCCGACACAACTATTTGGATTAAAAATACAAAGGTTTTTGGAGACGAGCAGGGAGATAGCTCATGAATTGTACATCATTTTTTTTATCATCACTTTTTTAGAAGTAATATACAACAAAAATTCTTATCATTTTATAAAATTAATTGGTGATTGACGAATATAGCCGGCAACTATATGTAAACACAAAATAAATTTTATATTTAAAGATGTCTTTAATCAACAGGGTGACTCTATTGCTATTAATTATTTTTACACCTTTGTACATTATGCTATAGAAATTTATGTTATAATGAAGGGATACTTGATTAAAATAATTGCATAATTTTGATAATTTGTCTAAAGCGCTGTATTTTAACTTAACGCAATCTATTTACATAAATGCCACATTATGTCTACCAAACTTCATGTTAAATTGATAAAATATCACGGAAAAATTTTGTTTTATTAATGTAAATTACAATTATAATTAACTAATCAGAATACTCTAGTTACAAGAATAATAAAATAATCATTGAAGACACAATGCATTTAAAATATTAAATTTCACTGCATTAATAAATAATGGAACTCATAAACATGTGAATGAATATTAACTAATTAATTAAAGGAAAATTTATAATAACAGAGTACATTAAAATATAAAAGCTTTACTTAATTTTAACATTTTTCAATGATTGCGCAACCACAATTCCTTTATTAGTTATTGTCCATGGAATTCCCTTGTACGTAGCTTGATTTGCGTCATTTGTTTTTAAATCCTCTGCTACTTGATCAAACACTTTTAAAACTTTATCGGGAGATCTCATGTAACCTTCAACACTTATAATATCGCCAGGCACTGCACCAGCTGGGGGTTCCAATATTTCGACTTTATCAGGTGTACTAGCACACATTACCATTGCTTCAGAAACGACTCCTCTAATTTTAGATGGTTTCAAGTTGCACAACAATACAGCCATGCGATCAGACATTTTCTCCAAAGGAACGTATTTTACCAAACCACTCACCTACAAAATTATTATCTATATATTCTGTACATCATAATAAGCTAAACTGGACTAAGTTAT